CAAAAAATTAAGTAAATGATTCAAGCTTCAGCCAAAATAGAGAGAAAGGGAGGAACAAGTTTTTGATTTTATTTACCGGTATATGACATTCAAAATTTTGATTTGATATTGAATTACAGGTGAACAGGTACTTCCCCACAAGAAATTATTAACAATATGCCACAATATCAATTTGCCAGAGTTAAATAATAATTCACCATTGTATGATTAAAGCAAAAACTGAGTTAAATTAACTCAAGGAATGAAATTTAAAATGGAAATTAATTAAAAGGATTTCAGCAACAGTTTGATATGCCCCATTATGGACGTGAAAAAAGGCATTTAAACACATGGCGATTTGTTATGTGATGAATTTTTATTGTTGCGAATCGTAAAAGTGTCAAATGGAAGATTTGACCTACAGACTGTATTTGAAGGCAAGCAGTGTTTGCCAACTTCACTTTTTTTCGGAATCCATCATCTTGCTAAGCAACTAGCTATGACTGATAATATAATTCCATGTTATCATCAATAATGGTTTAGGATATTTATGTGCACATGAAACATATTGTTGAAAGTTGCTTTAAATTTATTGTAAACTTGATGTAAACATTTCTTACAATTTCAGATGTATAGAAAGGCAGTATTTATAATATTCACTGTATTTATCATGTTAGGATAATGAAAAGCAACAAACACCGCTAGGCGGAGCATTATATGCCTGAAAGTGATTTTTTAAGTAAAGATGAAGCATTTGTAAGACACATGGAATTAAATAAAGTATTACCTCCTTCAAATAACAATCATCCTATGAAATTTGAATATTGTGGGTCGAATGGAACTTAAATTATGCTCAAGAAACTGTTTTCAATTTCAAAGTAATAGTGACCTTGACCTTTGACCTTATGACCCCAAAATCAAGAGGGGTCTTCTGCCCAATATAGACAATCATCCTATGAAGTTTAAACACTGTGGGCCAAATGGAACTTAAGTTATGCTCCGGAAACTGTTTTCAGTTTTAAAGTAATAGTGACCTTGACCTTTGACCTTGTGACCCCAAAACCAATAGGGGTCTTCTACCCAATATGGACAATCATCCTATGAAGTTTGAACACTGTGGGCCAAATGGGACTTAAGTTATGCTCCGGAAACTGTTTTCAGTTTTAAGGTCATAGTGACCTTGACCTTTGACCTTGTAACCCCAAAATCAATAAGAGTTTTCTACCCAATATAGACAATCATCTTGTGAAGGGCCAAATGGGACTTAAGTTATGCTCCGGAAACTGTTTTCAGTTTTAAGGTCATAGTGACCTTGACCTTTGACCTTGTGACCCCAAAATCAATAGGGGCCTTCTACCCGATATTGACAATCATCCTATGAAGTTTGAACACTGTGGGCAAGATGGAACTTAAGTTATGCTCCGGAAACTGTTTTCAGTTTTAAGGTCATAGTGACCTCGACCTTTGACCTTGTGACCCCAAAATCAATAGAGGTCTTCTACCCAATATGGACAATCATCTTGTGAAATTTGAACACTGTGGGCCAAATTGGACTTAAGTTAGGCTCCGGAAACTGTTTTCAGTTTTAAGGTCATAGTGACCTTGACCTTTGACCTTGTGACTCCAAAATCAATAGGGGTCTTCTACCCAATATGGACAATCATCCTATCAAGTTTGAATATTGTGGGCCAAGTGGAACTTAAGTTATGCTCCGGAAACCCAATTGCTAACGGACGGACGGACAGACGGGCGCCAGGGGGTAAAACATAATATGCCCGAAATTATTTCGGGCATATAAAAATAGTCATATAGACTGTTAACATAATCTTCACTATTTTTTCCAACAGTTTAATACTCATTTAATGATTATGAATGTCAATGTCAATTCGTTGATACCGCATCACAGTTTTTTGTTTTTGTCTATTTTCAAAACAACCTTTGGCTTTCTGAAGGGAAAAATGTATATATAACAAGATAAATCAGAAAAAGGGAAAAATATTAAATAAAATTCCAACAACTATGAATGGAATTCACTTACACATTCAATTAAATTATCAATGCAATTTAACATATATGGCATAGGCTATCTATAACAACTCTCTGTCATTTAATTTTATCAACAAGCTGATAATCATATAAGTCAGCTGCTGTTAAGTCATGGTTCTGGTGAATAATGTGCACAGGGCATTTCAGTTGAAAAATAGCATTTTGAGGAAAAAGTCTTTTTTAGGGGGCTGTAAAATAAAGGAAAATAATCACTGAGTAAACAAATACCAGCCAAAAATACTTTAATTGTATCATAGGTTGGGGACCTTTTGAGTTAAATCGTATACATGTACATGCACAGTGCGTTAACTGGAGTTTAGTTTAATAATATTTTATTGTATAAATATACACACAATATACAATTTCATAATTTTACAGACATGATCAAGTGTACATACAAAAGGGTTGGGCCAAAAGTTCTAACAACATTATCGTGGGCCCTTCCCTGAGGTTAGTCAGAAATAAGTTTATACTATTTGAATAAAGTTGTGTGATATCAAATAATTATCAATTTCAGTTTTAAGTAATTTTCAGGAACTAATTTTCATGAACTAATTTTAACAAATGTTTTATATGTAAATATAAATTAATGAAATGAACATTTAATAGAAAAAAAATATATAAAATAGAAATATAGATAAGCATTATAATAAAATTATGATACTAAGAGTGATTAAATTATTTAAATATTTTAAATGTTTAAAGTATAAGTTTCAAAAGTCAATAGTGTTCCATTTAAAGTTGTTTATGGCTTTTGAAGTATCAAATTTTGAGAAAAAGGAATAAATAATAGAACGAAATAATAAAATTATTGTATTAGTTACAAAAACTGCAAAAAAATACTATTAATAAATAAATAATTACAAAAATATTCACCGCACAAAACCCTGCTTAATCTTAAAGTACTGTTTCAGCAGTAAAAAGTTTGATTTTATTCAATTAAATTTCTTGCTTGATTTAATAAAAGTCTGTACTTCTTTAAAAAGAATTTCATTTTCGGATTCAGATCGCCCTTCTATTCCAAACAAAAGTTTCCGTACACTAAGAGGATGAAAAGAACACTAAGAGGATGAAAAGATCTTGTATTTAAAAAAAATGTTCTTCTTTGTTCACTGTATAATTTGCATTTTAAAAAATAGTGTTCTGAATTTTCAATGTGTGCTCCACATATACAAGATGGACTTGAAACAATGTGATTATCATATAAATCCGAATTAAGGTTACTGCAGTTGTTTCTTAAACGAGTATGATGTACAGAAGAGAAGCGTTCACCTTTAATAAAAAATGAAGGGACCGATGGGGATTTAAATATCTTTTTTAGTGCTGCAGGTATCAGTTACCCGCACTCCAGAGCATGCCCGTTGATTGGCTCTTTTTTGCTGGGGTTTACTTATTGTGACGGCAGAGAAAGGAAAGGCGGCAGAAATATTATATTCAGATGCTCTTTCATTGGTTACTTTTTTCTGGGGTTTCATATTGTGACAACAGGGTACGCGTTGTTATGTTTGACTATGATACAAAAGAGAAAGAACACCAAAACACTTTGTACTGTATTGAAAACTCAATATAATAAACTATTCTAATATTTATTTACAGAAGTATTCACAGAGGTCTTGCTATATTGCATGTATAATGTAAACTGTCTATCAAAGAGGGCTCAGAGAGAGAGTTCTCAGAGTGTGCATATTTAATCAAGTAGGCGGAGCTAATCTCTAAATACTAACAACACTACACACTTGGCAATCTGATTTATACTCGGGGGCTATGCCCCCTCGTACAAATCAGATAGCCTCGTGTTTCGGTGCTCTTCTTATTAGAGATTTACAGCTTGTACGGATAACGATAGCCGGAGACGAACAACGGTCAAAATATTCGGGGGTTATCTCAAAATATTTATCATTCAATTAAATTCAGTAAGAGCTATCACCTTTTTATGGCAAGTAAGATAAGTACAAATATATACAATTGTTTATTTATTCATACACTATAAATTGGTCTGTAACGTTTTATCTCTGCTATAGCGTGATCAAGACATACACAGTATTTTACTATTCTGTTAAGTTTTAGGCACTTTCTCCGTTTAGGCCCCTATTTACGGCGTATTTGAGCTGACGTTTTACACTCGTTGTGAGTTAAACGGGCATGATATATATGGTATACAGTGAAAAAAATCAACAGAGGGCCATAATTCTGACAAATTTGGTCGCAGCAAAAATTCCTTCCTTTACTACCATCTACACATTAAGGTTGTTCATCCCTGGAAGTTTAAGCAAAATCTGCTATCCGGTTTAAGACGAGTTGCGTTCATAAAATTCCTATATAATATATAGTGAAAAAATCAACAAAGGGCCATAATTCTGTTAAATTTGGTCGCAGCAAATATTCCTTCCTTTACTTCCATCTACACATTAAGGTTGTTCATCCCTGGAAGTTTAAGCAAAATCTGCTATCCGGTTTAAGAGGAGTTGCGTTCATAAAATTCCTATATAGTATATAGTTAAAAAATCAACAAAGGGCCATAATTCTGTTAAATTTGGTTGCAGCGAAAATTCCTTCCTTTCCTACCATCTACACATTAAGGTTGTTCATCCCTGGAAGTTTAAGCAAAATCTGCCATCCGGTTTAAGAGGAGTTGCGTTCACAAGATTTCGGGACGTACGGACGGACAGAAGGACGGACAAGTGCAACGCTATATGCCCCCCACTTTGTGGGGGCATAAAAAGTACATCGCATTTCTAAAATAGTGGAAGCGGCATCCTAATAAGCCATGTATATTTCATATTGCTCCATTGTCAACGTTTGTCAATCAGTTTTTGAATTGGTTTTGAAATATAAATAGTTTTAGATTCAAAAATACATCCGGCTATCGGTTTTTACGTGTGTTGCTATTCAATTCCATATTATTTCTGATGTCACGGGCATGTGGGATGACCACCCTGTTTAATCAGTTATTAATATGAAAATGGATGACTTACTTATTCTGCAAGAGTTTGCCGATTTTTCAATGTAATTGTTGACATCTGTCTGAAATATTATAATGTTGTCTGTGGATTCTTTTATGCGGACTTCAAATATGACGTCATTTCCACATTTGTTACCGATCTCAGTTGACGCATCCTCCAGCAAATGACAATCCCAAGGTGTGTAGCGAAATGTGATATATTTGTCTTTCATGGAATCTACACAGTTCGGAACTGTCCTATTAACACAATCAAATAACTCTTGGAGACATCTGAAAATAAGCATTTTATAATTAATAAATCAATAAAATAAGAAATGAAATAAAATATACTATACAAACCATACTAAATAACACATGAAGTTGGCGACAAAGCGGCCAAAAAGCCTGGCGGAGTGAAATTGGCGGTTTAGCGGCCAGATGTTTTTTTTTAAGTACGTAGCGTTCTTTTTCTAATGGCAAACTGTACATGAGATAAATGCCTGAAAATTCGAGCTCTCTCAAGCGCGTTTTTGTCAAACACACCACAACTGATTTACATTGATAAGAAGTTGGAAGACCACTGTATGAACGGTTGGCTCTTAATAATGATTTTTTTTCTCGAAAACAAGAATTTGTAACAAAGGTACCAATGTCCCCCGCCTCGGGGAAGTTTTATATGAAGCATAAAATTGTGCTATTTCAAAAGATTGAGGTATGGATCTAAGGAAATTCAGTCCAAAATTATGATCAATGCTACATCTGCAAATGCAACAATAATTTCATCAAAGAAATAAAATGAAAATCTATCATGTTAAGCTTTGACCTTTAAGTGTGACCTTGACCTTGGAGGTAGGGGTGCAGGTATTGTGCATGACATATCGTCTTATTATTGTAACTATTTGTACCAAGCATTTTCAAAATTCCTTGAACTATGAAGGAGTTATAGATGAGACAAAAAATATACCCTCTCTAACAGACTACCTCTAAGTGTGACCTTGGAGGTAGGGACCCATGTTTTGGGCCTGACATATCATCTTATTATTGTGATTATTTGTGCAAAGTATTTTTAAAATCCCTTGATCTATGAAAAAGTTATGGTCTGGACACAAAATATACCCTATAAGTGACTATGTAAATCTTTGACCTCTACATGTGACCTTGACCTTGGAGGTAGGGACACTGGTGTTACGCATGACTATTTATGCAAGGTATTTTCAAAATACCTTGATATATGAAGAAGTTATGGATGGGACACAAAATATACCATACAACAGACTTTTGACCTCTTAAGTGTGCCCTTGACCTTTGAGGTAGGGGTGCAGGTGTTGTATTTGACATATTGTCTTATTATTCTGACTATTTGTGCCAAGTTATTTCAAAATCCATTGAACTATGAAGAAGTTCTAGATCGAACACAATATATACCCTTTAACAGACTATGTGAATTTTTGACCTCCAAAAATGTGACCTTGACGTTGGAGGTAGGGATGCAGGTACTGCGCATGACACATTGTCTTATTATATAGTGACTATTTGTGCCAAGTATTTTCAAAATCCTTTGATATATGAAAAAGTTATGGACCGGACACAAAATATACCCTATAACTGACTATGTTAATCTTTGACCTCCAAGTGTGACCTTGACCTCAAATAGACAATGTCGACCTTGAATGAGCAAGTGCGAGCTTGACCTTAGAGGTAGGGCTCTGGTTGTTGCGCATGACACATCCTCTTATTATAACAAACATATGTGCCAAGTTATTTCAGGTTCCTTTAATAAATGACAAAGTTATGGACCGGACACGAAAGTGTGACGGACGGACGGAGCCTATTTCTATATCCCCGTTTTTTCTTCGAAAAGGCGGGGGACAATTAACACACTTTATATACAGGAAGAGCAAATGGCCAAGCCATGCGGAAATCTCCTGGACATGTTCCTTGGGTAAGGGCTTTAAAACTTAAAACATGTTAAGTACACTCTCCATAGTTGTTCAACATTTGCAATAGAATTGATCAAATGGTTTTTAAACGGCAGGCTCGTGAAAATGATGTTTTTTCCCAAAATTTACATAGATAAAGAACAAATCGCCGTTGCAAAAATGACCAAGCCATGCGGAAATATCCTATACATGTTCAATGGGTAAGCTTTAAAACTTAAAACATGTAAAGTAGACCTGCCATAGTTGTGCTAAATCGAATTTGAAACGGAATTGATCAAATTGTTTTTGAACAATACGCTCGTGAAAATGATGATTTTTCCGAAATTTATATAGAAAAAGAACAAATCACGGTGCATAAAAATGACCAAGCCACGCGGAAATCTCCTGGACATAAAACTTGGGTTAGGGCTTTAGACCTTATAATGTTCAAAGAAAACCCTCCAAAGTTGTACAAAATCGATTTTGCAACGATATTGGTCGAATGATTTTTCAACAGTTGAAACAAGAATATGATGCTTTTTTTTACGAAAATGATGTTTTTTCCGAAATTTATATAGAGAAAAAACAAATCGAGGTGCCTAAAAATGACCATGCCACGCGGAAATCTCCTAGACATATTACTTGGGTTAGGGCTTTAGGCCTTTTTATGTACAAAGAAGACCCATTAAAAATGTACAAAATCGAATTTTGATTGGAAGTGGTCAAACTATTTTGGAACAATACGCTCGTGAAAATGATGATTTTTCCGAAATTTATATAGAAAAAGAACAAATCACGGTGCATAAAAATGACCAAGCCACGCGGAAATCTCCTGGACATATTACTTGGGTTAGGGCTTTAGGCCTTATAATGTTCAAAGAAGACCCTCCAAAGTTGTACAAAATCGAATTTGCATTGGAATTGGTCAAATGGTTTTTGAACAATACGCTCGTGAAAATGATGATTTTTCCGAAATTTATATAGAAAAAGAACAAATCGCGGTGCCTAAAAATGACCATGCCACGCGGAAATCTCCTGAACATATTACTTGGGTTAGGGCTTTAGGTCTTTTTATGCACAAAGAAGACCCTTTAAAAATGTACAAATCGAATTTTGATTGGAATTGGTCAAATTATTTTGGAGCAATACGCTCGTGAAAATGATGATTTTTCCGAAATTTATATAGAAAAAGAACAAATCACGGTGCATAAAAATGACCAAGCCACGCGGAAATCTCCTGGACATATTACTTGGGTTACGGCTTTAGGCCTTATAATGTTCAAAGAAGACCCTCGCAATTTATACAAAATCGAATTTGCATTGGAATTGGTCAAATGGTTTTTGAAGAATACGCTCGTGAAAATGATGATTTTTCCGAAATTTATATAGAAAAAGAACAAATCGCGGTGCCTAAAAATGACCATGCCACGCGGAAATATCCTGGACATATTACTTGGGTAAGGGCTTTAGGCCTTTTTATGTACAAAGAAGACCCTCCAAAGTTGTACAAAATTGAATTTGCATTGGAATTGGTCAAATGGTTATTGAACAATACGCTCGTGAAAATGATGATTTTTCCGAAATTTATATAGAAAAAGAACAAATCGTGGTGCCTAAAAATGACCATGCCACGCGAAATATCCTAGACATATTACTTGGGTTAGGGCTTTAGGTCTTTTTATGCACAAAGAAGAACCTTTAAAAATGTACAAAATCAAATTTTGATTGGAATTGGTCAAATTATTTTGGAACAATACGCTCGTGAAAATGATGATTTTTCCAAAATTTATATAGAAAAAAACAAATCACGGTGCATAAAAATGACCAAACCACGCGGAAATTTCCTGGACATATTACTTTGGTTAGGGCTTTAGGCCTTATAATGTTCAAAGAAGACCCTCGCAAGTTATACAAAATCGAATTTGCATTGGAATTGGTCAAATGGTTTCGTGAAAATGATGATTTTTCCGAAATTTATATAGAAAAAGAACAAATCGCGGTGCCTAAAAATGACCATGCCACGCGGAAATATCCTAGACATATTACTTGGGTAAGGGCTTTAGGCCTTTTTATGTACAAAGAAGACCCTCCAAAGTTGTACAAAATTGAATTTGCATTGGAATTGGTCAAATGGTTATTGAACAATACGCTCGTGAAAATGATGATTTTTCCGAAATTTATATAGAAAAAGAACAAATCGTGGTGCCTAAAAATGACCATGCCACGCGGAAATATCCTAGACATATTACTTGGGTTAGGGCTTTAGGCCTTTTTATGTACAAAGAAGACCCTTTATAAATGTACAAAATCGAATTTGCATTGGAATTGGTCAAATGGTTTTTGAACAATACGCTCGTGAAAATGATGATTTTTCCGAAATTTATATAGAAAAAGAACAAATCACGGTGTATGAAAATGACCAAGCCACGCGGAAATCTCCTGGACATATTACTTGGGTAAGGGCTTTAGGCCTTATAATGTTTAAAGAAGACCGTCCAAAGTTGTACAAAATCGAATTTGCATTGCGGAATTGGTCAAATGGTTTTTGAACAATACGCTCGTGAAAATGATGATTTTTTTCCGAAATTTATATAGAAAAAGAACATATCGCGGTGCCTTAAAATGACCATGCCACGCGGAAATATCCTAGACATATTACTTGGGTTAGGGCTTTAGGCCTTTTTATGTACAAAGAAGACCCTCCAAAGTTGTACAAAATTGAATTTGCATTGGAATTGCTCAAATGGTTATTGAAGAATACGCTCTTGAAAATGATGATTTTTCCGAAATTTATATAGGAAAAGAACAAATCAAGGTGCATAAAAATGACCAAGCCACGCGGAAATCTCCTGGACATATTACTTGGGTTACGACTTTAGGCCTTTTAATGTTTGAAGAAGACCCTCCAAAGTTGTACAAAATTGAATTTTCATTGGAATTGGTCAAATGGTTTTTTGAACAATACGCTCGTGAAAATGATGATTTTCGACATTTATATAGAAAAAAGAAAACAATCACGGTGCATGAAAATGACCAAGCCACGCAATAATCTCCAGGACATATTACTTTCGGTAAGGGCTTTAGGTCTGATAATGTTCAAAGAAGACCCTCCAAAGTTGTACAAAATCGAATTTTGCATTGGAATTGGTCAAATGGTTTTTGAACAATACGCTCGTGAAAATGATGCTTTTTCCGAAAATTTATATAGAAAAAGAAAAATCACGGTGCATGAAAATGACCAAGCCACGCGGAAATCTCCCTGGACACTATTTACTTAGGTAAGGGCTACGTTAGGCTTCATAATGTTTCAAAGAAGACCCTCCAAAGTTTTGTACAAAATCGAATTTGCATTGGAATTGGTCAAAATGGGTT